AGATTAGATTAATTGAACTATTATCGGTTGGATAGCTAGGTGGTTATATTTGTTTAGATAACAATATACATTTAAATTTACGATGAATTATCGAACCGTCATTTTACCCGATTCCTTTGTTTTAGTTTCGAACGGTCAAGGGCGCGTATCTAACCCACCTATACAGCTATTCTTCAATCCAAACCCTAGTTCGGACCTTACAGTAATACCTTTACACGATTATTTTTTCCTGTCTATATCGATCAGTGTGCGCTGCTATCTAGAAAATCGAGTTGTGAGGATTCCGATTCGGGAACTCCAGGGTATCCGGAAACAACCATCTCCGCAGATTGATGTTTAGATAAAAGTGACACTTCGGTAAAAATTTACAAGGTTATCATTCTTTGCATAGAAACATCGCATGAAGACTGGAATACAAAAAATCTACATTACCCTGCTGATTAACTGACAACGACCGGAAAAATCATGGAACTAGAGTCTTCTATCTATTACCACTGTATTTAAAACTCTCTATTATGCTCTACTTTGTAATACTTCAACAATTACATGAAATAGAGACAGTGGTCATTAAAACTTATCTAACATGGATAGTAGTCATAACTCTGGAATCTCGGATATAGGCAATTGCTTTTTCCGGTTAGTGATGACTTCATTGTGATTGACCTGGATAGTTTCATTTCGGAGTGCGGAAAGTTGTAATTAAAAGTGGTATAAACTTTCTTCGTTCCAGCGAAAAATGAAGAATCCACTTATCATCTTGGAAATTTGAAGTTTCTGAACAATATATCACATGCAAGGGAACCAGAAAGACAACAGATCAGTTTGACAAAAAACATCAGCTACGCGTTCAGCAATGATAAATCATGAAAGCTATACACCTTGCTGGCTAAACATTTGATGTTCTATCAAAGTAGCATTTTCATTAGTCACTTCAAAATTGAAAAGATTTTTTTTAATGATAAGCAAACTGACATGTTGGGTGTAAGCGATTTAAAGACAGATTAAGTTTGGTCATAAACTTTTAACCTGAAAATGAATTCTTATGCACTAAATTTCAAGTATGCAAGTTTTTAAAAACAAATGAAAAATAAGTAGCAAGTAGGTTCAGGGAGAATGCTGATGCTGGACGTACTACGCTAGAAATTAAACCAAATCTGTGTTTAATGAAAGTGATGCAATTACTTTAATGGCATCTGAAAAGTGTTGTTGATAGAGGCAGTTTCAGATAAGAAATCACACGGTTCGTAAGATCCGGAAATTGAATTGTTTCAATGTGTTTGTCCCAAAGTTGAAACTTTAGTCACACAACCCCTAGTTCAATAACTCAAAAGACGATAATAGTCAACACCTTGTTTATGATAGCATAACAAACATTCGGAATAGTGTGGAAGATACACATAAAAGATACTGAATAGTATTTCATTTAACTGGCACATACACCAGGGAAAACCCAACCGTCACAATAGGGAAATGTTCTACCATTCATTATTAAGATCCCACCCAACGAAGGATGATAGATCAATTCAGTTTGTTGGAAATATAAGCAATCAGCAGTGAATAATACTGAACGTTTTTAAAACTAAACATGGAATATGTCTAAAAATCAACCTCAGGAAATAGAGACCATAAGCTCCACCAGTATCAACCAAAGTAACGCGGACTTATCTGGCGTGTCATAAAAAAATGGCGAATAAGACAAATATAAAAGAGTCATCGAAAGACTCAACAACAATTAAAAAATAGCATTATTCTAGAATTTTTAGACAATATAGAAATAATTACTGCAATCAAACTGAAGAATAGGAATCAGTACGCGAAGTAAGGATAACAAGAAAACGAACAACATATACTACAGAGACGCAAAAGTGTGGTCATAAGAAAAACAGACATACAAGAATTTTCTTTATTTTTGTATATGACAATATAAAATGGATCTTACGCCATAATATGATTGTAACGACCGAACTACCAGTATTCGGCTTGAACGCAGGACTGACGAACTAAAACGTATTCGAATAGGCCAGACTACGTTCTTCTGTATAGAACATTAAGCGTTTTGAGACACTCGTATTAAATTATATCAAAACACAAATTTTGTGCTCAATTTATACGGTTCTAATTTAAGAAATAGAAAAAATTATATCAAAAATACAAAACACCTCAAACGGTACAGCCTGTGCTATACAGTCAGAAGTTTCTCTAACGCAAAGTAACGCGCTAAACAATGGAAGAAACAGTCAGTACCAAAGGATGTGATACCTGAGAATCAACAAATATATTCCCAATAAACGGAATCAAATATCTATCTGCAGGGATTCCAGAAATCCTCCCAAGCAGACAGTCAAATGGTTAACAGTCACATTGAATCACGCCGTGAACTTGAGCTTAGTCAAAAACGACCTCACTGTCAATAGTCCGGCAACATGCAATAAAAAATTAGGTAACGAAAAGATAAGCTTTTAACCAAAATCACATAATAAAAGCTCAAACGAGATCTGGACTAAGGTTAAAATATATGACAGGGAGAAGAAACAAATGAATGAAAATACTGTCCAACAAAAAAGGTTGTGGAGGGATTTTCATCGTCCTCTATCCGTTACAATGATAGTTACCGTATTAATTGATTTCAAATCATTAAAGGTCATAAATACAAAGTAATTTTTTCCATAACATTAAGGAAAACAAGAGGAATTTGCATCTATTTTATATTGAATTATGAAGGAAAAAGTTATCTAACTAACCAAGTATTTCTGAAAAATATCTATATTATGTGACGATTTTACTTAATTTACATCTTGAACAAGCAAAGATGGATGGTGACTAGCAGTGGACTCGTCAGCTGGATGTACCTGCATCTCAGAGTTGACGTTCACTCTGGGACTCAAACCCAGTACCGTCCGCTTCAAACGCCATAGCGTTATCCACTTAGCTACTGAGTCCTTATAGCCACTTGCTTGTAAGATACGCACAGTATACATATATGCCAATAAGAGACAGATCAATTTCACTCCTAAACATCAATGGGAAGATCCAAGTAATACAATATCAAGTGAATTACATCTTGAATGTTCAACAACGTTCAGTTGTTAGCTGTCATATACGGTAGCAGTAGTCAATGAGCATGTTTTTGATCCCAGACACCTTAGGATGCGACAGGCTTTCGGAGTTTGAAAAGGCGTTTACACGTAACACCTTTACAACCGTAGTATGCGAACTCTGTGGAATCAGAAGTCAGAAATAACATGGTACAAGGATATAATAATAATATTTTCTGAAAATAATTATTACAGAATTCATGCCAGTTTACAGGCATGATCAATTTGATATAAATAGCAACATTAGGTGTACAGAACAAACATGTGATAGAAGAAAGTTTTAAGTATACTAGTTCAGTAATTATTAAGGTAGTACATGTATTACAGCGACACAATTCATCAGCGGAGAACTTTTGATTTTTCTTAAATGGGCAGCCTGTCGATTTATGAAAGGTGTTTGGAAAGCTATCGATATGTCAATAGACGTTTGGTCTAAGCTGTTTATCAGTTGCAAGGGGCACCTAGTACTTACTCGTGATCTGGTGCTGAAGCGTGACGGAGTGTTTTCAGCTAGGTGTGTTCGCTAAAACTAATGAGGTCAGCTTCAATGAGGAAGACTTACAATGCTATTTGTTTTTGGGATTTATTAACTGCCACAGACAATTCATCCATCGCGGAATCAACATTATATAAATCTCGTAACGAGTTGCAACTCTTGAGATTCCATAAATTTTTATGTGCTTAATAAAATTATGCATGCTATTGACCTTACTGGTATTATTGTATAATAACGTCGCTAAAGTATTAACATAGACATGAATATAAGATTACATCTAGATTTGTAGTGGACATCAGGTAAAGAACTTATTCAAGATGGAACAATGCGCAAAGTTACTAGCAATATACCTTAAAATATATTGATACTGTAAACCTAAGTGACTGTCTATGAATAAAGCAAAATAACAAAAAACACTTACAGAAAAGTGATATACTAAACAAATGGGTGGTAACAGTTGTTGTGAGATGAATGTTACTCGTAAGCTTCTTCTGGGATTTCAATCACAAATAGAGGTCACATGATTAAAAATGGTTCGTCTGTATCGTTGGAACAGACATCGTGAAGCGAAATATTCATCCCATAATGTTATAAATAATAATTCAGACCAAGAGTTATACGTAGTGTAGACCGAACCGAGATGATCTTATAACACCGTTATGACCTTCAGCCACAGGTCGTGGCCAATAAAGCAGAAGTATAGACGACGGAGATAGAATTTGTTTAAATACCAACAGTAGTGTGTGTGTTAGAACAGCCAAATATTAATGTCTATCTTATGATTATTACAGATAAACAACAAATAATAGATATATATTTAGTTACACGAAACATGTCACAAATAAAATAGGTTTTTATTTTTGTCGTCACGAAAATCACTGAACATACATGCCACTGTAGATTAACCAAACGGTATGACATTTGAAGAACGACAGATCATACTACCAAAAGAACCACTTTAATTCCTGACCATCAAAGTTATTCACAGAATAAACTCACAAAGATATGAAAGCCATAGAAGCGTTACTTGAAAAATGTAGTACTTTCTCACAATATCTGTTAGGGGAAAATCTAGAAATTTTCACTAAAGCCACAAGAAGGGCAATCCTGAAGGTTTCAGAGTCCTTACTTATCATAAAGGTCCTTTAGGAAAAACCTATTTACAGTCTCAGAGTGTTCATCCATAAGTTTAAAGTGGCTTGTGCCAACTAATAAGACTTTTAAAATAAAATTAGTAAATAACAGACGACAATTCAGAATATTCGGCCTTTTTATTAGGTGTATCGTTACCGCCTTTTTATGAATTCTTCACAGATTAGAACTTTTCATACAGTCATTTATGTATCAAACATTCGTCGTAATACATTTTCTATTAATTGCTGAATTTCGAACACAAGGCTGATCATATTGGCACATATTTGATTAGTGCGTTACTTTCTGGACTTTTGTCTTAGGCCGCGTAAGGTAATTCGTATGATTTATCTTCTGTGTTTGCAACTCTTATTGACAAAGTCACGCATTTAAAAACTTTGCGTTTATTTTCTGTTACCAAAACATGGCTTTATGGAATCAAAATCAGGGTTCTTTGATTAGATTTAAGTTAAACATCTCAACTTATTTAGTGTTATGTGTTCACCTTGTTAGTCGCGTAGTTTATAATACGATTGTGTTTAACATGGGTTTTCGTATGTTTCGGATCTTCGTTTTTGTGTATTTTTCACTGACAAACGTACTTCAGACGTCTCAATCACAATCTCTATCATGAGTTTCGATAATGTGACTTAGAATTTGCCCATGTTTTATTTTCAAACCATTTATATTTAAGCCTTTGATTATCTTGGTCATTTTGTGATTCGTTCTTCGAGACAAAACAAACCAAATTTATGTTTTCCAGTAAATGCAGATAGCATATAAGAACTGCAACTCTTTAGATTGTTTTTTAGTTGAAAATATATGAGTTCTGAAAGCAATGTTTCATTTTGTTATTGTTAATCTCTTTTACGAAAATGTCCCTTAAACATCGTCTTTTTGACAATGTGTGCCTATCTGACTCCCAAGTTAAAGTTACTTCTCACCTTATACACAAATGTGTTTTTTGTTGTCAGGAGAGTACATAGAAATATCAATTCTAATTTTTTCTCAGTCTGTCACTTTTCGATTGAAAACTTTCACCATTTCGTATTAATTCTTGCTGGGTTGTTTAAAAGACTAATGCTTGATCATAATTCATCTTGATATGTGGTTAATTAGTCCGTTATGTATGATAGTAATTTTTACACATTTACTACCAATGACCAGTTTCTCAACTTTAAATAGTTTAACATACTACAAACCGACAATTATATACAGAAAAAGACTGTCGTGGCGTTACCTTTAAAATAACCATTTTGTTGATAATCAGACCAAACAACACGTCTATGCAAACATTACAGACCCGCATAAACGTCTCAAATTTTCTGATGAATTAAAGTATTTTAAAGCATATATGCTTGAAAATCACCGGTTGTCAAATTTAAGTTACTTTGTTTTGTTTATATCCAGTGGGCACGCTGCACATCTGTGTAGTCAGAAACTATCATCTATTCTGTACCCCCTAACTTTTACGGTGAACTAACATTGTATGACTAAAGGTAATATAAGTAGAAAACAGTGAATTTTTTATTCAACATTCAAAAGCTTTGTATTACAGAGGTGTTAGTAATTATATTACAGAGAACAAATTGTAACATCCAGGTGCAAAGGTTCAAATGTAGTGAATATACTATTACAGCGATTGAAGCAGTAAGAAGGATGACAGAAGGCTTTGGCCAATTTTATTTTAAAGTTCGCTGCATTATTCCAATCGTAAACGGAAATCGACAGGAGTATCCACAGGAACTAAGGTTTCCAAGCGTAAACGAATTTTCCAAGCGGCCTGGTATATGTGTCTATGCGACCTGCTTTTTGGAGCGACAATACCCAAATAGCTACTAAACTATTGGTGTTTGTGAGATAGTGGGTAAATGAGATTGTAAGTTTCAACGAACTAAAGTGGGCCAATGTTATAAAATGGAACCTAACAAAGTCTGTGACATGTAGGAGTGTAAAAAAAGGAAAATCAAACTGTGACATAGTAACAATTCACAGCATTGTGGATCGTTGGTTTAAACTATGATGAAGTATTATCTTCCTGTCTGAGGTTCTCTATATTATGAAACAAAGTTTAAGTCTTCCAGAGAAGTGATTAAAGAAAACCTTATTATTAGTCCGAATGAGTTTACTGTATCTTTCCCTGAATTTCAAACGTTTCACCATTAAGTACACATTTCCGTTGTCTATATGTGTCCTCTCTATATTGTTATTTTCCAATTAAAATTTTTTACTAAGTTAGTATAAGTGTTTAAACTTTACAAGTTAGTCACTCCTCGAATAGCTCATCACGTTGGGACGATCAGTTCTTTTAAGGATGGGAATACCCCCTGGTGATTAATCTCATCTATAACAACACCCAGTTCCAGTTCTGTTGGTCAGTCGTATCCAACCATCTAAAACTGCCTAATTTCTCTAAACTACTGTGAGTTCCAAATGCTGCGTTACGAAGAAGATTGCTGTCCAACTTGCCGAGGTTTTGTCGTTTGAATACTAACACCAAACGTGTTATTTAGTGGATAAAACCCATAAATCATCATTAGCAATCGCATATGATTTCTAAGTTGGACTCTTTTACGTCCTTGTTATTACTCTACATTATCTTTGCAGAGATTAACTACCTTTCCATCAAACTAATATGGTTTCACCGAAATCTATTTAATTTGAACACTAATCAGTACTTGTGTTGTTACTCTTTGTTTTTTATATGTGGTGTCAAGACATTAACAATGTAGCTCTTTCTTTTTATACACTAAATATAGGTGGTCTTTTAGAAGTATTTGCAAAAGATCAATTGTAAAGGAAGGCATAAGCATTGTATTGAATTGCGCAAAAAACGTTATGCCTGTCAAATCCGATATGAAGGATAAAACAGCACAATCAGATATAAAAGATAAATCGAAAAAAGGAAGATATAGTTTAAAAAGATTGTTAGATCGAAGTCGATTTTCACCTAGCTTATTATTTTTATCAAAATCTAATACAAGCAAATCAACTGATACGTCCAATGAACAACGTAAATCTATCCATGATGATATGGTAAGCGATTATGCTTTCTGATGAATAATAATAAAAGTAAAATTATAATAAACAGATAGATTGTCATATTCAAAATTACTTTATGTAAATCTTTATTCTTTTAACAAAATGTATATGTGGAGAGTGGCTCCCTAAGAAAACCACCTGCTTCAGTTTGAGCGTCCTGGCAATACCCCAGCCCTCACACAAATCATTTGGTTTGTACGGCGCATACATATTTGGTACCTCCTTGTACCAATGTTTCTGTTTAAATAAATAGTGTTCACCAATGATTTAGAAATTTATAATGATTCAAGATATTGTTAAATAGTAGGTGGTATTTTCATACATATATATTATATTAAGATGCGGGCGTTCGAAGGAATTCGTTTCTTATTTTGACTTGGCAGTTGTTAAGTTATTCGAATTGTGATCACTAGATTTCAAGGTATGGCAACGTAGACCAATTCATACTTTGGTGATTAAATTGGTGGCATGTTTGGACTCCATTCCGCCTATTTCGGCTCAGGTAACCCAGTAATATTATTGACTTTCACACTTGGATTATGACTCATGGCCGAATACACAAAATAGTTGGATTAGTTTGTAGCGTGGTGTCGAATCGCGATTGATTATGAACACCGCTACAAGACTACGTGCTAATTAACCAATAAGATCCCTGTAGGCCATTATCAGAAGGCAGATGATGGCTGTAGCCGGGATATATTTGCTGGCGATCTCGTAATATCGAAAGAATACCGAGATCGTGCCAAAGGACTACAAGCGTGGTTACTAAGCGTAACCGAATTCGTACAAGTTCAAAGTCAACGGGAGAATAAGTGTAATGACTGTCATTAGCATAGTTAAACAAATGAGCACAGTAAAACAGTCGCTGGTACAATTGGTTATAATAATAATTGTTTTCATTGAACCAATCGCGTTCTGTTGACAGAAGTAGGTCACTACAGGAGCCCCTCGCTAGAAAGGGTTTACACTTTCGATAGGTAGCGGTTTGATTCGTGGGACTGATCAGCAAAAGTGCGGTTGTAGGACGGAAGAATTGGCGAAACAGGAAGCGATCGTTGATCCTCGAGTTGCCAACAAAAGTCTTTTGCGTAGAACGCTACCAGGAGAAGTGTGTTGTATTTGTTGCTCGAGTTAGCATACCACACCAAAGTGGTTTGTATCCAGGATCTGAAGATTGCGTTCGTAGGGATGCGGACCAGAAAACTCTGCAGACGTAGGACGAAACCACGTTGAGCCAAGAAACCGGAAGCGACCATAACGACCAAGTGCGAAACCAAGCACATACCAGGCGGATTCGAAACCAGATTATCGACTGAGTGTGTTGACAAGAGCGTGGGTGGCCAGGCCAGCTTTCGCCAACGTTGACTGAAGCCGGCGTTACCAAACGGGCAATGGTCGGAGGCGTGGGCTTAGGATACGAAAAAAAATCAAAAAAGAGAAAAAATTGTAGCATGCATGTGGTATGGGAATAGTCCTACACCGTATCCGTTGTTGACTGTGTGGTTAGTCATGAAAGCGTACGGGTAAGCGTACTCGGCGACCGGAACGTGGGACGGCAGTTTCGTTCGTATCTTGTGAGCCTGCAATCTCATCCGAGGTCAAGGGCGGCGTGGTCTGCTGGTCTGGACGTGAGACAGAAGTCTCGTCCGTAGATGGTGCAGATGACGCGTGCTGCTGACCGGGACGTGAGAACGAGGTCTCTGATGTATCTAGCGTGGGATCCGAGGTAGACGTAGAGATCCCGCTAGAAGGTTTGATAGGTCTAGCATTGAGTCTCAGGTTATCGGGTAGGGCACTGTCATCAACGTGTGCTGGTTTGAGACGATCAATGCTGACGATCTCGACGCGGCCATATCGATCAACCTTGAAGGCCTTTTCGTGACGAGAGATCACGTGAAAAGGGCCTTCGTAAGGCTGTTGCAAAGGTTCGCGTACCGAATCTACTCATATGAAAACATGTGAACAGGTAGATAACTCTCGAGGGAGAGCGACCTGTCGATGTTGTATTCGAGTTGACACCGGAGACAGCGTTCGCATAAATGCAGACAGTCGATGGACGTAGTCTGATTTACCGAAATCATTACTGCTCCGTGGTGTGAAGAATTCCCCAGGCAGACGCAATGTCGTGCCGTATACAAGTTCAGCGGCGGAACATTGGATATCTGGCTTCAAACTCGTTCTGATACCTAAGAGAACGAACGGTAAGGTTTCGTACTAATTGTCGTTTTCGTGTGCTCGAAGAGCACTTTTAAGTTGACGATGAAACTGTTCAACTAAACCATTTGATGCTGGGTGGTAGGCGGTAGTGCGTATGCGTTCCGTACCAAGCATCCGGGTCAATGAGAATAGTGAAATGGGGAAATTTCTCGAATAAAGCGTGGAATATATCGTCACGCGAATAAAAAGTGCCGAGGATTCAGTATGCGTACATCGGAGTCTATTATATTAATACTATTCTTATAGTTATCCGTCATGTCGAGTATATTATATATTAAAAATTAATATGAAAATATACGACAGACGTGGATAGATAAACAATAGACTCACCGAATTGCCTTCTTTGGAAGATTTGACCGAGGTTGAGACGTGTTCCCAGATTTGGCTCACCAATTGTAGAGTGGTGTCGAATCGCGATTGATTATGAACACCGCTACAAGACTACGTGCTAATTAACCAATAAGATCCCTGTAGGCCATTATCAGAAGGCAGATGATGGCTGTAGCCGGGATATATTTGCTGGCGATCTCGTAATATCGAAAGAATACCGAGATCGTACCAAAGGACTACAAGCGTGGTTACTAAGCGTAACCGAATTCGTACAAGTTCAAAGTCAACGGGAGAATAAGTGTAATGACTGTCATTAGCATAGTTAAACAAATGAGCACAGTAAAACAGTCGCTGGTACAATTGGTTATAATAATAATTGTTTTCATTGAACCAATCGCGTTCTGTTGACTAAAGTAGATCACTACAAGTTATTATTACTATTTATCGGCGAGTTCCATTGATTGTTTCATTTTATTTATTGCAATAACCTACGAATTATTACGTAAAGCGAATTTCAGGCAAAACGTATTACATCGTTTACTAACAAAAACAAAATAGAGAAATTAAATAATTCATGCCGTAGAAATTGTCATTCCTTCCTTTTTAATGAGAATTTCTAAACAGTATAACTTTTAATTTTCTGTTAGATATGTTAGGATAAAAACCAAGGAAAAGACCTACTGATAACATCATCTACTAATTACTCATACATCTAATGATTTTGTTTTCAATTTTATCAGCTTCTTACAATTTTACTCTTAACCCAAATATTTTTTTGTGGCCTCATCACACTAAAGCAACCTTTCAAAAACGCATATGATCCCATCCTTGAAGTTTATTATCTACTATAGTAATTTAACTTCCTTTTCAAAACAACTTAAAAAGATGTTAGATGCAACGGTTGCTCGTAAAGCCCTACCGTGTTAAATATATCACTGAGGGAACGTAAGATCAACGTTGGCGTATTTCGGACTAGGGCTGTTAATTGAATTAAAAAATACGACGAATATTTGCTCCCACTAGAAATCAAACAGCCAATTTTAGTTTTTGTATCATGTTACTTTAACAGCAAAGTATGTGGTCTTATCCAACATTTAGGCCATCCTTTTAAAACTCAAATCTGCCAAAGAAATTATGACCGTACCATATAGTTATACACTAGAAGCTACTTATTTCTAGCCACAATCATTTATAGACGTATAAAAATATTTAACTTTGCGACTAGTATTTTTAAACAGTTTGAGAGTGTACACAAACAAATCAAATCACCATCATCTCTTTTTCTAGATAACACGACCAGATTTCCACCTTCAGTTAAGGCTTATGTATGCTTGAGTTTTAGAGACATAAAGATCACTACGGTGGCAGCTTTTCAAGCTCGGTTAATTAATGTCAGTTATATGTTTCAGAAAGAAGTGGTTGTATTTACTAGGTAGACTGCGTTAGTGACTACTATGAAAACAAGGTTTTCAATTGTCACCAAAGTTCACCAAGTTGCGAGAACCTGAAGGATTGCATTAATTTTTAAGTAAATGGGTCATTGTGAACTCATCATGGTGGACTCTGAACAATATAAAGAAAACGGTTTAAATATAACCTGATTCAAGGATTAAACAATAAGAAATTGATGACATTATTGGCCTTAATCGACTACTTTGGAAATCGATTACATATACTCAACTACTGTCTGCTCTAGCGCTTTACACAGATTAACCTAGAAGAAGCTTAGAAAAAACGAAAGTTACCAAGGAGTGTTGTCAATCTATGGGATCATTGGCTTTTGACCTGATCTGTGTATGGAAGTAAAGTTTTTGGTAGTTCACGAACAACCATGGTATAGGTCAGAATAAGTTGCATTCGTCCAGATGGGTTTATTCTTTTTTTATGTTTATAGCAGAAATATACTCTACCTTTTGTCGCGGAGTTTCGCTTATTTCTCGTGTACTTTTTAGTCACCCATTAACGTTGGCAATATTATTTCTTCTTGCTTTGCTGTGAGGTATATCAGTTTTGATCAGAGATTCTATTGTTTTTTTACTATCTTCAAACTAGTTTAAATATTTCATTTGGATGAAGTGGGCTGGTTAAAATTCCTGTTTAGTTCGTTCACTTCAATTCATTAGTATGTATAAGTAATGCAATTAGTTCCCCGAAAAATATGAGCGAAATAAATTTTACCATACATGTCATATTATGATGTTAGTTAGTTTTGTTATCTTGCTATATATTTAGTTAATCACATTATTTATGCACAGTACAAATATTGACGTAACGTCAATGTATATTGAACTCAAATTAATTTCAATTCAAAGTTATTTGAATATTTCTGAAGTTATTGAGACATCTATTCAATGGTAGCCTTCTTGTTTAATTTAAACAACAAAAAAAACATTTTATTACTTACACTAGTATCTTATTGATTAATGAATAAGAATAAGAATTTCTGTTTTGCAAGAAAATCAATAATAAATGATGATTTATAAAGATAAATGGTTGTATAACAACGTTGAAGAAATGACTTTTTTTCACTCATACTTTTATTGAATTAAATTTATGGATTCCATCTACATATCTATGTAGTTTAACCCGTAATACTCGAAACTTCATATGGTTGTATAAAAATGATCAAGGTATGTAGTGTTGCTTTTATTACCATTAATACTCAATACGAAAAGATAATTTATCCAAATGACAATTCGTACACATCACAAACTGTTAGTGTCGCTAGTTATTTTTCAACGTAAATGTTATTGTCTAATGATATTATTGATGATTAATTTTATTGTTCATCATAATTTCATTTCATCTGCTTTTTAAAAACAAGTTTGAATCTAGCGAATTTCCCGTATTGTTTGATAATTTGTGATATATATATTAGTTATTTCAGTTATATATTTCATGTATACATGAGTGCTACTGAATGTTCATCAAGCTACGAACCTTCGCTTAGTAACAATGTATGTATATTTATATATTAACGTGTGTCGAAAACAACTATATGGTCACAATCGTTTAGATAGTTTATGAAATTTAGTTTACACTTGTACTTACGTGCATCTTTTCACTGTGTGCATTTTATGCATGACAAGGTAAATGTATATGTATGTTATCACCTATAATTTAGTGTGTTAACACATGTTTTAATTCTTGTAGGAGTTGTCTTGTTTAATGGTACAATTTGTTATTGTTATTTGTAATTGTGATAATTTTGTTCATGATAAAATGTTTTATATTATACATCAAGTTTTAAAGGGATAAATTGATGATTAATACTAACGGATTATTTTATTACATCATTTTATGATTTCTAAAGAAAATTTTCTGTACGCATTATAAGTTGCTTAAAACAGTTTACTTGATGATGAATAAAATTATAGGCGATTTAATTTTATCAGAAAATTTCAAGTTTATATAGGTTTTCAATTTTTTAGATTCTTTGATGTTACCCGTTATCGAAGATATTTTCGTGCATAAATAAACTTAATATTTCACTGTGAACGTATACGGCTGAAATCATTGGTATCCAAAATATTAAATGATAACATTGTTAAATACTTGTCTCATGATATTAAATTTTTTTGCCTTAGTGGTAATTTTAAAGCATTTAACTCTCAATAATTAAGTTGAAAGTTTAAAACTAGTTTTAACTGTCTTGATTTAGGTAGTCAGTTAAATATTATTCACATGTACGAAAAATATACTCGACTTAAAGCCGACTATTTAGACTTGTAGTTGGTTAACGTTACAATAATGATACTAATAACATTGAAGTTGATCTTCGATTTCTATTTACTTTTTATAAACTCTTGATTTTTTGATTATCTTTTTATACGTTAAATTTAAGATGGATATCAATGTGAATGTTGAAAATTCACCGTCTTCATCACCACATTCCTATTCACCAAATTTTGGAAGACGTTTAACAGCTTCTGTACCATTTGATTGTGCTTCGAATTCACCGATAATTACCAGTACCGCTTTTCGAAATCCAACTTATGGCAGTGATCATGCAAGTCCCAATTCAGAAGTAAGTTTATAGTTTATATTTCCTTTACTGAAACAATATCAACAATCTTGACGATGAAATCATAGATTTTAATCAATTATAAAATATAAAATCTGTTTTTTTAGTATTCTGAATAAAACAATAAAATTCAATAATGGAAAAACGTTAAAGGTTTGCTTACAGACTTATGAATTATACCCAATGAAGCTGATGGGAATGAAGTTTAGCGCAGGTTTCCTACCGATTAATTTCAAGCTCTTAAGATCTAACAAAATTCACCGCGATGCTTAATTACGTAGACTAGTGTTGAATACTTGACTTGATAAACATGTTCATGTTTACTACTAAGTAACGGATTAGCGTTAAAGGATACAAATGTTCCGTATTATAAAATTGTAAATTTTACGAATGAAAACAGCGCATACGACGAATAATGACTTGATAACTATAAAGTTTATGATTTGTACATTTTTAACCTTTACATCGTCCCATTAAATTAAAGTTGTACACATCAGAATGCTCTTATGGTTTTCATTTTTTATTTTTTCGAAATATCACAATCAGAAGCGGATTTAGGTATAAGTTACCAATAGTTCTACATTGTATACAATTTTTTTCTGTATTTACATTTAATTTTCTGTCGAAATTTTTTTAATGCGTCTCAGTTATGTTGAATTTTGATAAAGTAGTAGGAAAATTGTCAAATCTTTAAATGTAAACAGCATACCCTTTTTAGATTAGTATTCTATCAAATTTGCTAAACAATGTTTACAGTTTGTTTATATTACCAGGAACTATAGAGAGTAAGAAAAATGAACAAGAAACGGTCTTTAGCATATTAACGTATAATGTAATATAACACATTAGAGAATATCTCTTTTATTACGTTGATTGATATTTACCCTGGAGTAGATTGTCAATCTGTTTATAATGAAATGGATTTCTTGAAAAATTTCACGCATCAATCATATTAATATTAAAATAAACCTCAAAGTTTATCTAATTTAAAACATAATTTTGTCTGTTACTTTGTTAATATTGCACTAAGTCGTTCATGGTTTTTATGCCGACATTCCCCATACCTCAAGAATTGATATGTTAATTAGGAAAATCAATCTGCCTTGCATATTATTCTCAATAGTTATGTAACGACAAAAGCAGTTAAAGATTTGAGCTGTGGTACAAAATACTATAACATTTGACTACACTTGACCCTGATAAACAGAATAGTTGGCTGTATTGTATGACTGGACATACTAGACCTCTGTAAGAGATAATTAGGCCACTATACTGGATCACGCAGTTTGCACAGACGGAATATTTGATCGACAGTTGAAAGGTAAAAAACAGATCAGAACCACCGTTTATTGAAATAAAATATAGTCCAATTACTCAATTTAAAATATAAATCGTCAATTCAATCTTTTACGTATAACAATAGTTTCTATACTGAGTAACTGTCTGTTTCCGTTCATGGGCCAGTCGTATCCTATCTGCATTAGCCACTCTTTGTATATAGTTGATAACTTCTCTTAATTATCAAACTATTAATATTCACGCTTCCTCAAGTTTCTTGGTACTAATGATTGATTTCGACTCCTCGCAGGATATCCCATTCAGTTTTATCATAAACTAAAACATATAAGGTATTAGGGTGAAATACCGTTTTTATGTTCAAATGTTTAGGGTTTATTTCTGGTGAATCGACTTGGGAGTAAGGGATGATATAGTCATGTGCTTCAATGTCATAACACTTAAAATTAGTATATTTTTTATTCTCTAACTACGTTTAACCAACATCAGTGATCAACCAAGTAAAGATGCAATGTTTTATCAAGGTCGATTGTTAAATGAAGATATTTATTCATATTCTGTCCGGTATTTTTGAGCATATTTAATGATCAGTCATTGCTGTGCATTATATAAAGGCTAATAGATTTTTAGGGACTGCCTCAGACCACCTAATATTGGATAAATTGAGTAACGTAGTTTAATGAGTTAGTTCAGTGGATTGCGCTACAGACTTAACTGAAAATAAAGTTTACACTAAGGGCGAGGTAATACAACATCTGTTACTGAATGATGTTGATTTGAAGAGGTATGTCTATTGATACAATGCGCAAATTTGTAAAGGCCTACATTTTTAGCTAAGTCTGTAACGCAATCGTTTAGCTAATTCATTAAATGTCGCTACTAAAGTCATTCATTATTAGGCGATTTGAGGCAATCCTCAAAAAACTGTGAACTTAACATGTTGGTATTCATCGACATTGTTATGCCAAATCATAAGCCATATTGAAAATGTGATCGAACTCTTTCGATTATCTTTGAATAATATACTATGTGACATTATTTGGTGAAGAGGTTCATCTTTCGGGCACTAAATTCCAGGTTCAAACTCTACTCTACCTACTTCAGTTCTGACATTCAAGTAAGTATCATTAACCCTAACTCATACCTAGGTACCTGGTAAATAAACTGACAAAAATACGGGTCAATAGCTAACTAAGTACACAGACTTTTTATAACGATATTACATTTTCATAAGACGGTAGAGCTTCTTTTTGGGAACCTAAATCTTTTCCACCATGTATACATATCAGTACAGGTTTATCGCATTGTTGGTCTTCTAATTCTTTGAAGTTACATTATGTCACTCTTAGACAGCCTTGATTCCCATACTTTAAATGGCATCCATGAGTCTCATAGATAAAAACTTCCGAAAACGACAGATGAGCAATATCATATCCTGTAAAATTCCGATTCCACTATTTATTATTATTGTTTATAAACGTTTGTTCTTCTTAACGTGATTTTTAGGCATTGTTCTTTTTATCAGCGTGATATTATTTGTTATGCAGTTAGTTTTGACTATCACTCCGATTTTTTTCAAAAACCTTCCATATTAATATTTTAATTGTATTAGTTTATTGTTGAAGAAGAATATGAAGAATCTTTGGCAAATTTCGCTGATGCTATACTAGATGGATTGAAAGGTCGTTCAAATCCCTGTTCTAGAAAATCACCAGATACATTTTCAGCTTGGTCTGATGCTGCTTTTCCTGTTGGAAATATTATAGTACCTATGCATTGTGGATCTATACCATTTAGTGGAAGCAGTGTTAATGCACATCGTCAACATCAGCATCATAATCAACAATATCATGAAATATCTGACAGTGTTGTTACACCACCACCACTGACTAATTTCGATTTGTGTAATAAGTCATTAAATAATAATTATAATGATGTTAATAATACTTTGAATAATATAAATCCTACTGGAATATACAACGAACCATGTGATGCTAAATCGTCACTATTGAATGAGCCAGTTACAATTTATACAACTAGAAGTGTTATCTTGAAAAATACACCTGTAGAATGTAATCTCTTGGAAAACAGGTATTTATTGTTGGGCGTTAATTTTTAGTAAAAAAGTTCATTAAATGTTACTATCATTATTATTTATATTGCAACTTGTTGGTTTTAATCGTTTATTTCTAACAATTTAAACTAAAAAGAGATATGGGATTTAGTTTATTATTAAAATTTATTGACTATTTATCACATTGAAAACATTCCTATATATATATATATATATATATATATATATATATATATATATATATATATATATATATATATATATATATTCCTATAAATATTGTTTACTTAATCCTTATCTGAAATCTGTAAACACAGTAACCTACTGACAGTTTTATTTGTGCAATACAATATGTAGTAGTTAAAATACAAGTTGATGTAGCCGGTTTTTAATTTATATTTCATGTGTACATAAACTAATGATACTTATTATTTCACTATATAAATCAAACTAGATGAACTAGAAATGAGGAAAAAGGGATTAGTAGAATTAATCAAATTTACAATTTGGGAAAAAAGATCCAATTATATTACGTGACTTAATTATATGTTAAGCTAAGCTGTTTTTTCTTGAAAATTCGTTTAAAATAAACTAAAACGAGGTTTTTAGAAAAATTTTCACTTTGAGATTTCGAAACTGTACACAGAAACGTGAATTTGATTTTTTAAAATCTTTGTTAGTAGATGGTTTTTTAAAGACATCCATAACATTCTCTATAGATGCATACAAGTTTCTCATTATATTCATAATCAGTTGAGAGTTACAAATAAATCTTTTAAGTGTTGTTCATCTTATGTTATTGGGTACGTTTGTCGAAATAAGTCTATTGGTTAACTAGGTTAGTTATAAAATCGTCTTACGTAATAAATACTCTTATTTAAACTGGTAATAAGATATTTTCCCATTAGTCGTAGAATTATTTCTTTTTTTTAAAAATTGTTTGCAATAAATTCCCATTTCTTTTATATAGAATGAAAAATGTGTTCAACAATAATTTCATTATGAATCAAATCCAATGCGTCAATATATTAATGTTTCATTGAAATCAGATATACAATATTGTAGCCTCAAAAACTCCATAGATATATTTCTAATATCTTATCATTTCTGGGTATAAAGTTCTTTAAAATGTACACATATGCTATGTATTAAGTCTATCACACTTAAGGTCATAATACTATTGTTCAAATATATTGTTTACAGCAATCAGATTCGACTTACACACTCAATTTTAAAGTTAGAAGATGGAGATTTAAAAACTTTTCAATTCCGACTTCTGGTTGAATTTTAGGGAAACAGTATTTTTTTAGATTAAAAAATGTGTCCCAGATGTGTATAAGTAACGTGTTTTATGTATCCAAAATGTCTAACAAATTAGAAACTATTTAAACAATTACAAGGGTGAATTATTTACTGATCTCTTCATGCTTTTTAATTCACTAATGATTATTGTTATCACAAATGTCATTGTCCTTCTCGTTAATTTCTTAATGAGTTCATTCAATTAGTGGCAATTACCGTATCAATTACTCTTCTCTATCATCGTTATTCATCAATTATTTAATCAATTAATAAATATGAGGTTACTTTAGAATCTTTATGGCTCCTGAAATTTTATCTATTATAATGAATGATGTATTGATTTATCTCCTTCATTTATTGTTCCCATAATGTGAGATTTTTGTCATTTATATTTATCTGTAATGTTTATTAACTTAATCACACTAGTCTTTTCAGTATTCTCTACGTTATGTTTTTGTATGTATATCTACTAGTATTTTGCGTTTGACTTTTGATATGCTACTTTTATAGCAGAACATCTCTCATATTTTACACACTCAACTGTCTAGTGTATATATGTAGGGGGAGAGAGAGAGAAAGTTAGTTCAATTTAGTAAAACATGAATTAAAAAGACCGAATCATGTATAAATCAATTGGTTTCAAATAATTTTAATGGAATATTCAGTGTACATTGTGTTTACCTGATAAATTATCTCGGAGAGAGAGACTTTTCACTTAAATTTTGGATTCACAACGACATCGCATGAATAATTGTGTGAAACGATGTTTTTCATTAGTTTTAACTAATGTTAAACTGCTGTTTGTGTTAACCATACTAAAATTGTTTAAAAAAACATACTTCCATATTCTTACATAGTCGCATAAATCTTAATTCAACGTATTGGTAGAAATAGTAACTAAGAGGGAACATGTTCATGTACCATGTTTTGTGGTTTATGTGATAACTAAAAACCCAGTGTAAATTGTTTTAACTATCTTCACTGTTTACTTTTGAGTACTTATCATCTTAATTTTGACACAGCTTTTTGTCTATGTTCTTGTTATGATGACCTAATTATGATTTCATAAAAATTACTGCTGAGTCAATCTAAGATAGACCACCATTGAAAATCTGGAAGCACTGAAAAGCTGTCGCTTAAAATCACGAATCGATTGAAGTTAGACACTAACACTGTTAGATGCCGGCTCAGTGGTCTAGAGTTAAGCTTTCGCACGTGAGACTGAATTTCCTGGGTTCTAGTCCAGTGTTCCGGATCGTGGATGCTCACTTCTGAGGAGTCCCATGCAGGGATGGAATGGCCGTCCAATGCTCCCAGGTTTGCAGTAATGATCCAGCATAGATCGACTCACGGGTTCAACTATTGTATATATATATATATATATATATATATATATATATATATATATATATATATATATATATATATATATATATATATATATGGTAATTAATTGACTGACTTAATCCTTTTTAATTGAAAATATTAAATTGCTATTAGCCTTTTTGATTTATTAAAGTTTGATGTAGTGATAAATATTGAAAGGATTGTTCATGTGACATTGTGGAAAAACATTGTTTTAGCCAAGTAAAATAAGTGTTTATGGATTTATTTACTCAGTAGTTGTTTATGTGTTTATGTGTTACACTAAGTGGTCATCAATTATTGTTCAAACTGATAATAAACAACAACCCTCATAAGTTGACTGAATTCTGTTTTTTCAAGTTTGTAATGTGATCATCATTTAGTAGTAAATGGTCTTGAGGTAATCAATAGTGGTAAGTTGTGATGAGCCTTAGTTTTGGCTTATTAACACCCATCAACATAATTTGTTCTGTAACATTGTGTGATTTCATACTACCTGGTAAAATCTAAACTATCGTTTGTTGATGTCTCAATCAGTAAGGCTACCATCAACTTATTTAGTCACTCTCGTTTCAATTGTTTTCAACCAACATGTACGTGTTGTGACTGGTACATTACTATAAAAATAAGTAGTTTCATTTCAAAAAAACATGACAGTAGTATGTTTTGTTCTATAATTTCAAATGTTTTACACTTCCCAGTTATGGTCTATGGCGGTTAATACAGTAATATAAGCTTAATTGATTTCGTTCCCCATGTTATTCTGTTACCAACCTTAAATAAAATCCTCGTTCAATTCAGAAAATATTTTAACACTGCTTACTCCAATCATTTTTTCATATAGTCCTTGCCCATTTGACACAGTTGGCATCTTTGGCTTTGTTTATTTTTCAAGTCACCTAATGATTCATTGCATACTCAGATGGTCTCATACACCAAATGCAGACTTAACTTTTCACATAAATAAACTCAACTACTAATGAGTAGTAAGTTCGTCGTATGGTCGTAATTTTCTTCGCTACAGGTTGCAAACATCCTTTACTATACATATCCACATACGGTTGGTAATATCATAAAATACATGATCGATAACGCAGTAATCAGTAACCAGACCTTTATTTCTTCATAATCAAGCTGTTGCTCAGGTATGCTAGGTTATTTTCACTCTTTTATATTTCGTGTTATAAGATTTATCCAGGGTAACCCAAGTAGATAAGAAATGACAGAAAATGCCTTGTTAATATTAGTCAACGTGATAGATTGCATTGTGTGATTAAATGTTCTGTTATGCTGTATGTAGCATGCATGCGATTGTTACTCTTAAGGCTTCTGTGTCGCAAGCTGAGTACTGTAAACAAATATTCAATCTTGTACAATTTATCGGTTTTATCCACTTGAAATATTATTGACAGATTGTTGTTTAGACATAGGCCTAATATTACACTAACATATGACAATCTTTACATAGTCATTTTTTTCTCTGATTACAAATGGCACACTTTATACATGTGATTATCAGATCATGAGTCATATATGAGACAAAATATACTTAAACAGACTAAACGGTATTCACTTAACAAAGCATCCTCGCGTAAGTGTACTTTCATGTTATTTTGCCGTATGAGTCATGTGTGAATTTGTGTTATAGGTGATTGGTTAAAAATATTATTTTGAAACTTAGTGTACTGGAGAGGTACGAATCTGTTTCTCATTTCCGGCTTACTGCCAAGTCATTGATATACAATTGACTGTAGTTGAACTAAAAATTGGACACTCAATAAATTTGAATAACTTAACGATATCCTATTTAGCCAAACATATCTTCATCCCAATTCCTTTACATACTTGAGGGAGTAATACCAATTAAAAAAAACACCCAATCGGAAACGTAGGGGGATTGTGGTGGCATTAACAAAATATTTCATTGGAATGACGGTAAACTGATAAAGGAATTTTATAGCTTACGTACATGGTAATATCAAGCAAGTCAGATATATTTCAAGGTCGCACAATAGGCCAGATACGAGCGTATATGATCTATGACGATCAAAATAATTAATTGACTATCCAAGATCAACCTCCATGTAACCATGTAACAGTCAGCTTGTCGATACAAGAATGCAGATGAACTGTAATTACATTCATTCGAGATTCGATAATATAGCTGCTTATACTGTCTTACATTCTATCCTTTTGTTTAGTCAGTGTCTAACCAGCACTTCAAGAACGTGTATACTAGTCAGTCCGGATTACAAGCCATAATGGTATGGGCTTAATAAAGGTTTTCTTATAAAAGTATGATATACTGACAGTCTTTATTTGATCAGTCAAAATTAAGATAGAGCCTCAT